CACAACAGAACACTAAAAAAAAAATATATATATATATATATATGACGATGCTTGGTGAATGTGGAATATTTATAGATGAGTATGAGGTATGAGGTTTAACTTGTTTTGGGATTTCTTGTGTAATTTTAGATGCCCCACCACGAAACAATGTTCTCGGTGATATTTGAGAAGAAAGTTATGCTGGATCACGATAATAGAAAGTTACATTTAATACCATCTCCGTTTACATTTTCATTCGAAGTAAGTTGCCTTAATTTAAATACAAGACGCACACCAATTTGGAAGCGTATGTGTGTGTTGTTAGTAACAAGCGTACTTGTTATATGCAGAATCGGCGGCCAGACGCGTCTGTCTGGCTTGAACCAGAAGCTTTGAAGTTGGAAGTCGGCATATCTAGTTTCCTGTGCTACTGGTAATTAGCGTTGTAAGCTGGTGATCTGGGGCTGAAAGCCGCAACGTCATTATATGGACAGACAGAGCAGATTAACTTTGTCTTGAAAAATAATTATGGACCGGCATGTAGTTTTCATTACGTTCTTTTAACACAGGAGAATATTTCGACCTATATTTTAATATAATATGTAATAATTAATATCTTCTTCGCTGTAATTTATGTAGAATTAATAGTTTCTTCAGATATGAAAACTAGTTACAGACTATTTGAGTTCAGTATTAGGGATGACTGACTCATATTTTGTAGGCGTTTATTTTATTTATTTGCTAATACATTGTCCATCAAGAATGACAAGAAAATCTATAGTAAACACACATAGTTGTACATATTATCCCATAAGGCCAAACATCATTTAACAGTGTTACCATGACAACGTTTATAACATAAACATTCAGAAATAGTATCGCATAACGACCAAAATCCCTCAACAGCAAATGATAACCAGCCAACACTTGCTTATTATATAATTCGATTGTTTATTTAACTTTGTTTTTATTATATATGGTTATATAGCGTCAAACGGAGTCTAATGACGAGTTAATTGGAAAGGAAGTTGAAGGAAGAAATTGTAGAGTAAAAGGTGGGAATTTATTAACTAACTTATTGCAGTTTTTCACGAAGAATCTACGTCACGGAGTTAAATATTATTTTAGAAATTTTCATGTTTGTTTCTATCGTACGATTCTCGGAATAAAAGGCGATTATTCATTTAAACAGCGTTAAATAGTTGATCTTTGTAATGGAGAAGTTAAGTGTTTTCTTTGTGGTACGAATTGGATCTTTAAATAATATTTAGAAAAGCTTTTATTTGAAGATTTCCGTCTTCTGGGTTGTTGCGCTGTGTAGTCTGGTCGATGTTAACCAACGTTTCAGAGGTCATACTGCCTCCGTCATCAGGGCGATGAGAACCTCAAGTCTTACAAGCTTTTATTTCTTAATTTCTCTGCAATACAATTTTTGGTACGTCTTTTACAATCTCTTGAAACAATAGTGCAAAAGAAATTATGTTGCAGAGAATCAAAGAAATAGTTCTCTTTCCGAAGGAAGTTTTAGCTGTGTGGATTTACTAATATTTTGAATCATGAGACGCCCAAGATTTCGCATTTGTCTTCAAAGGTTTGACTTGCACTTGTTATGGCTGCAGGTGCAACTAGCCGTACAACAAACTGGCTTTAAGAGGGTAAAACGAGGCTACAAACCTCTGCGGGTTGAAAACCTGGTGCATCACATGAGGCCGCAACATGACCCAACCGACCCCTACTTCCCCTTCCAATGGTACCTGAAGAACACCGGACAGAACGGTGGCAAGGCGAAACTGGACCTCAACGTAGAAGCAGCCTGGGCTCAGGGAGTTACTGGGAAAAACGTCACAACTGCAATCATGGATGACGGTGAGTGGCAGTTGTTCATTGCAGATATTTTTTTTTTTTTTTTTTTTGAAATCCAAGTTGTAAACACGTTACTGTAAATTATTAAATCCCTTTTTATTCTGAGGAAAGCCCTAAACCAGGTCCCTGAAGCGAGAAACAAGCATCTAGCAGTCTGAGCTATTGGACGTCAATATTTTAAATTATAATTTTGTAATACGTGAGTTGATGAGCCGGGATAGCTCAGTCAGTATAGTGACTAGCTACGGGCTGGACGACCGGGGTTCGATCCCCGACGGGGGCAGAGGATTTTTCCTCTAGCCTCTGCGTCCAGACCGGCTCTGGGGCCCACCCAGCCTCCTCTACAATGGGTACCGGGATCCTTTCCCGGGGGTAAAGCCGGCCGGGGCGTGATGCTGACCACTCACCCCCATCTAGTGCCGAGGTCAAGGAAGAGAGGAGCTATACCTTCTCTCACCCCAAACGCCTACATGGCGTATAGTGGGACAAACTTTACTTTACTTTAATACGTGAGTTGAAATTATGGTTTCTGACCTTGTGCAATACGTTCAGAGTTAATATTTAAGACGAACCACTAAATATTCATCTTGTCTGAAGCGAATAGATTTGAATTACTTCAATGCATTGCACTACTGCTTTTAGACGAATTATTAATGAATTACCTCATAATGGCAGTGTTTCTTCTACTCGACCGAAGCGTTTTAAACCAAACATTTTCGTTCCTCATTTGACATGAATTTAAAAAGTCGGTAACTGATAGTATATATCTATTCCCTGTATAATATTACTTGCATATGCTACGGCCAAAATTAAAATGAGTTTTAGGAATGTATGTCGTAATCAATACAATAATTCTCTCTTATTTACATCCTAAAACTATTGTTCATTTTGTTCCAGGTGTGGACTACATGCATTCTGATCTGAAGTACAACTATGTAAGTCCCGATATTTTGTCATTCATAGTATATTTCGACAGAAGTCTTTTTTTTGTAGTCCGTGAGACCGCGAAGTCCCTGGCTATTGAATAGATTCCTGCTTCAACATAGCATCTCGTTCTGTTGAATGAACATTTGCCTCATACCCATTCACCATATTTGGTATAGAATCAACTTCGAGGTTGTTACTCATTAAGAGAGACACTTAATGTACACTAGAGAAGTCCTGGAAATTACACAATAATTAACATTCAGGTTCGATATAACCCGGAGAGTTTCTTAATTATCTGAGCGACTGCTAGTTTCTCAGAAGCTATTCTACATGGAGTTAACTTAAATTTAATTAAAGTAGGCTTATGTTTGACCTTGAGCAGAGAACATGCTTTAAAAATACATTAATTTTAGGCCTATAACTACAGAACTAATATTGCCGTAGATCTCAAAACTTTGAAGGTTCTAATTCCAAGCCAGTCAAGAGGAATAATTATGTTTATTATAATCTGTGTTAGCTGTGTTAGTGCATCATCTTTGTCTCAAACACCTTTAATAGTTTTTCTTAGTTTAGGATAAAACAACGGTGTTAATTAGTTTAATGTGTTATCATTTTTTATAAATATCCCGTACATAGAGATTTCATTTGTAGTAACTCTGCTGTCCACCGAACATTGATTGATGTAAGGGCTTAAAAGAAATGCGATCGTTTGTAATAAGTAAATATTAATTATACTTCTCAAAAACCAGAACCTGTTTCCCACAAAGCTGACATGTTTGTATACGTATACAAACTTAATTAACTGCGTTTATTTGAAACCCCATTACGGCCACAGTACCCACACTCCAATTTTACAAATTTGTGTACGATGATCTATGTTTGTGCGCGCATTAAAGTTGGTTGTATTTGAAACCAATTTTATTTAGCTTATAATGTTTTTGTTTGTTGTTGTTGTATTTTTAATGTTTGAAGTACACTAATAAAACCAAACATATATAGTGTACATTTCAGTGTGGATATATTTGTGGGTTTTAGAAAGAGTGGTTTTATTCATTTTCTGACTTGAGGCTAGTAATCGTTATGGTAAAATCAATTTCAAGAGCGTAAAACATTAAAACACGCAAGTCTAAATTTAACTATGTTCATAGCGTTGAAAATAAGACTGTAGTATGATTTATCTCTGTGTCAAAGCGCCACACTGTAGGAGAGTTATGGTACATGTAAATAAAATCTCCACGCAATCTCGAGGTGAGGGTTCAGCTACAAACTTTGTGTTATTCAACGTTGGTGTCAGGATACATACGAAAATAAAAAAAAACTGTTATTGGATCGTGGCTTTTTGAACGTGCTGTACAAGAAACAACACCTTAGTGCACAAAAGCGTGGTTGTATTTTATCATTTCGAGGATTTTCTCCATATTCTTTTTTTTTACGGAAATAACTAGGCTCCTCACGCTATCCAGAACAAAACTGCTGAGATATTAAATTTTTTTTTAAGTTAGCTGTGTTCACAGAAACGGGGTTGTGTGAGAGTGCAATACGTCGTTAAGCAAATTCAACCCATACATATGTTCTTGAACAGAAATTCTAACTCCAGACTCGCTAAATTTTAGGCGATAAACATAAACGTTGAATCTGGGCTTCATTACAGTTCAGTGCACCTTTGGAAACGAGAGGATGCGTCTAAGATTAAAATAATTTACATATAGACTTTAATTATGCAAACTGTGAACCTCTCCGGGTTACATGAAATTATATTACCGTGTAATGAAAGATTTATTTTAGTAATATAGAATGCTCCATAAACATCATCAGGGCTTAATGGAAAATAATTACAGAAATGCTCCAAAAATTGTTTTGTGTCTCAAATATAAACAAACAAGGGGCTATATTAGATAAACAAGACTTCACTAGTAGGATATACACCCACAAAGGCCAGTGGCTGGTTACCGTGAAGGCGCTGATGTCTGCCTGCCAAACTGTGAAATCTTACTTTAATTGAAGAGAATTTCAAAACAATTATTCCTTTATTTTCTAATAGTGCTGAACTTATTCTTGGTACATAGCATTTAACCTCATTACTAAGAGCATAAACTCTGCAACTTAGTATGAAAGCAAGTTAATTTTGAGCAGAACTTCGTCTGAGGGTTTTGTTTGTTATATATGCCACGTTTCATTAGCAGTATCGCATCTGCCATGTTGCGAGAGTTAGCCAGCAATCGAACAACCAGAGATTTCAGCAAAATACGAGCGAACAAATGAAATCGACTTTCCATGTTTAAAGCGAAACGGATAAGAGTTTAGTGTATGTAATGTGCTGTAAATTCATGCAGTCTGAGGCATGAATTTTAATCACGCAAGGGAAAAAAACCAGGCATTTAAATGTTGCTAATTAATGTAGGCCAAGATCCCCAGAGAGCACGGATTTAAATCCTGATTTTGAAAGTGATGTTAGTATTGATATTCAATTTATGATCTTTATATTTTTAGTTACGAAGTAAATTATGTGAACACATAATAGAGATGTCATATCTGTTTATGACTTAACCAATTTATGTAACTATCATATATGTGTTTACAGTAAATGTAGGTAAAATTTCCTTTCAAATTTGAGAATTTTGCTGGCCAGACATGATTCCCACATGTGCTATATAAACAATTGAATTATTGATATTTAGTATAATCCCACAAATCTCATTGAAGTTTGATCGGGCTTATAGTCATTTTTAAATGTCATCCATGTGTTTCTCATTGAAATTATGATAAAATATTTAATCCAATTCCTTATTTTTATACTTTGTCTTAATTTCAAACTGACATGGCTCTAAACTTTCTTAATTCGATTTATGTTAATAGCATATTTTACTCAAAATAATTCGACTAACGAAGTTCTTATGATATATTCTGAAACACGTGAACCAACCTGTTTAAGTGACTTCAGCTCTAAAGATAAAGGCGGTACATTCTTACGAGGCGTTGATTCCCACGTACACGGCGTCAAAATACAGATAACTATGAACTCTGTATGAATGTTCCACAGTTTTTATGAAAACTGGCTTCATATTGTAGCTCTCTCGCCTACAACATAATACACAAGCTTATTAATCTTGGTTCACTTCATTTCTGTGTTGACTGTATAGCTTTGAATAGGACAAATTGCGGAAATTCTAATTAATTGCTTGTAAAATAATTTTTTCAGCTTTAAAAGGGGGAGGCATTGAAGCGTATAAATAGATTTTATTAGTAGTTTAATCAAAGCTTAAAAATATTCGTCTAAAACAAACAAACAAACGCAGTTAATGTGACGTAATAATTGCCAAATTTTATCCTTGTTTCTACATGCGACTGGGTCAAATATCAGCTGATGTCAATTAATCTCTGTTTGTAACTCTGCCTGCCACTCAACGCGAATGTAAGGGGAGTGGAGTCATACATACTCCCTCGATGTATCTGCGAAGACAATTCACTGCAGTAATCACACACTCACTTTGTTTCACATCAGCGATTGAGGGATAAATTAAATTCAGTCATTTATAATTTAATGGAAACTGTATCTTCCGCCCATACTATCACTTAATACAAGGCATTAATATCAGGATGATCAAATCGAGGAGAATGCGATTGGCGGGGCATGTAGCGCGCAGGAGATATAAATTAGAAGTGACTTTCAAATTTTAATTGTAAGGGAGGATACTATTCGGTAACGAACCTTTCATGTTTTATAGGAAATCAAAATATCTTCCATGGAGTTGCTTAAGTAGTTAATTGTCAATTTTCACTAGTATTATAAAGTAGTACATTTGAATGACTTCTTCTTCTGCATTTATAAGATTATATAATAATAATAATAATAATAATATTTTTTTGTTTTTATTCAAGAACGCCAGAGCGAGTTACGACTTCAGCAGTAATGATCCGTACCCTTACCCACGCTACACTGACGATTGGTTTAACAGGTACGTAAAGTATTTCGTTCGTTACTAAGTCGCTTAATTGAGCGTCCTAACACACAAATTGTCTTTTATCTGTTACGAACTAATATTATGGCTACTTTAATTTTACCTGTGGCCTTTGCTCCGTACTGTTTGCAGTCCTAAATCTGCGCATTTCGGTGTTGTTTTGCGTTGCTTTGTTTCTCGTTTTGGTGTTGTGCTGTGTTTCCCTGTTGTGATAAGAAACAAACACTCGTCTAATGATCTGTTATGTTAATTGTTCTACCTTAGCGTGTAATATGTTTTTTTATATTCGTCTAGAAAACTACTTATTAATTTCCGTCGTTATGTTCGCTAGTAATAGCAACTAAGACGACTCCTCACATTTATAACATCTCCATAAATTATGAAGATGGCGGTCTCTAGAATGCATAGTCCAGTAGGCATTGATCGATGTTTGAGGGGGACTTTCTACCTCAATAACGGGGGTGATTATGGAAACATTTAGGAAGACAGCCATCTTTTTATTTGTCGTCAAGAGAACTTGGACATATCTAATTTTATCGAGCCATTTTGATTATAATTTGGCCTATGTTAAGAATCAGTTAAAAGTTCTAAATGATTGTAAAGTGCATACACCTCATCAGAATAGTTTCACGAGCAGATGAACGGTTCTTAAATAAGCAAAATACTATTAATATTTGCGTATTTAATTCACTTTAAGGGAAACATTTCTTTGTATTTACCTGAAAAAAAGCATACGGTATGTGTTTCAATTATTTTTAAAAAAATTAAATGATTTCTAGAAGTTGACTAGCACATCAGTAACTATTACTATGTGTCATCGAAAGCGTGGTCCAGGCTTCAGTATTTCAGTTGAAAAGACACTTAAGAAACTAACGTGCCTTTTGGGAAATTTTACAAAATGTTACGAAGATAAAATCAAGACAATATTTGCCCTTATATAAAAAACAGGATTTGTCGTTTGTGTGGGACTTTGTTCTATTTACACTGAGAGACAATCCATGTACATAGCAAACAGACATCCCCCGTACGTAAATGAAATATAGCTTTTTAATGCCATCCCTAAGCGTGTATTAACCCCCTTCATTGTCTTTTATTCTCTGCATTGTTTTTGGAGTCGTGTTGATGCTAAAACTTAACCTGCAGTTAAATGCGATGTGTAATCTAATAAAGTCTGTAAATATAAGGATGACCGAATTTTATGTGATGACAACTTGAATATTATTAGTATATTTTCATTCTATAATAGTCCGTAACAATTATTTACATGTTACATGAATTTTATGTCGTACATTGTCCACTGTCTGGCACAAACCTATATTTTAAATACACGATTGGACGTTTCGGCAGAATAGTTGGCACTTCCGGCTCTTCTGACCAATACACGATTGGACGTTTCGGCAGAATGGTTGGCACCACCGGCTGTTCTGACCGAGGATTCATGTGGATTTCCTCCATACAGGTGTCGCTGTAATACCTAATATTAAGCCACGATTACGACGATAGCTGTCTCGTGGGTTGTAGTACCGTGTATTCTGGTAGAATTTAACACGTTTTAGAGGTACATGCTGCCTCCATCATCAGGGCATCATCATCGCCACCGTGAGGACCTCAAATCCTGCTAACATGATATTGCTATAATTTAAGTTGCAGAAAGCGTTGTTATGTGCACGAAAAAACAAGAACAAGACTATGTATAAGCGACGTTTCGGGAGAATACTGACTTATTATTCAGAAGCTACCAACCTTGTTTCCTGTGGTCATTATGTCATTCTGAAAAAAAACATAAACTTTGATCACCGTAAATCTTACAATTCACCATCAGGTAATGATGTTACAGACTTTTGTCAGGATTCAAACGTCATCAAAATTTCAAAGCAACATGTATAGTACAGCATGCAACAAAATTATTTTAATCCTCTCAAGCCTAATTGTAACTATATTATACAATTGCTTTAGCAATAAATAATTATTCATTTTGTAATTAATATGTTTCGTATGATTCTCTCTGGAAATAGGGGTTATTTTCTTAAACAGCGTTAACCAGTTGATCTTTGTAACGGTAAAGTGTGGTGTTTTCTTCGCGGTACGGACTAAATTCGTAAATGCCATTTATTGTATTAGAATATTATTCTGTGGGGATTTGATGATGGTCATGACAGTAGAATGTGTTCTCACAAATTAGTTCGCTGCCATCAGCTTCCACGAACACGCTCGTCTAACAGGATGGCAGCTGAGTGAGAAGTTGGGGGAAGGATAGGGAATCTGTGAAATTTGGTGCACTGTGGAATCATGCATTATTGAGTTTGCCCTGTGTGCGAAGACTCAATACCGGAACAGCGCGACACATTTCTCTCCCTCGAATCGATGTACACGGTGTTCCATAATAGAATTACTCCATTAACACTTTAGCTGACACTGACGAGTCACGGTGTCGAAACTGGCCATGGAAATTTTGTGTCGTCGTTGTCACGATGTATGAAGCGAATTATGAGCGTAGTCGAGTGGAAATTTCTACTGATCTTCTTACGTCCTACGAAACTTTTTCTACCACCTAAAAGACAAAACAGAATTGTTATCACAATACTAATAAAACACAGGGGATTAATTTAAAAATAATTATTCAATGTATGATACCGATACTATCTACATACAGACAACGCTGAAGTTTTCCATAACTGCAACCACTATTTATTTTGTAATACAACTGCAGTTGTGATATTTCTGCTTTCAGTTCAACCATTTGCGGGTTATCCCTGAAGACGTAGCCCTTCATAAATCCTCTTAAGAAGTCAATCACAGGGACACCCAGACAGTAGGTCTGTGGTGGTCATATCATCCATTTGCTAATCATTCAGGTCATCGGTAAGATTTCAGGTTCTCACGGCGAGCTCGAATGTAACTCTCTCGTGGGTTATTGCGCCGTGAAGTCTTATGGGAATTCGCCGACGTTTCAAAGGTGTTTAGTACTTCAATCATCATGGCGATAGTTTGATACTTCTGTCAAATTCGCCAGACTACACGGTGAAGCATCGTAGAAGACACGTCATCTTTGTTAAAGATATCGATTAAACAGACGAACGTACCATGAAAATTTTCTTTAAAAAATTAAAACCCACATGAACTGTAAGTGATATTGCCCAATGCTTAAAATAATATATCTTATATTTTCATTCATGTGCTCTGAAGAGGTGGGACAAAGTGGCCTTAGAAATGTTGCGCGTTTCAGGCATTAATAGTTTCAGCATTCACTGGGTCATACGAGGCGATCGATCGAACAAATCCACCAGATTAAATAGCACTCGGATCATGCAATTTTGTGGTCGCCATCGAGTCTTAAAGGTTGTCTTGGAGGAGGGGAGTTTTCAATTCCTCACACACGCGTATTCTGTTTACTCACGTACTCGCTGGGTAGAATTGCGTATCGAACACACGCCATCTTGTTTACTACTCAGATTTTTATATACGGCTTATCACAACAGATAAAAAACTCGCATCACATGTTGTTTGACACCAAACTCATTAATTTTATTGTAATAACCACTAACGAGACTACATGGGGTCACAATTGAGACGACAACAACGTAAAAAATAAAAATATAGCTTCCCGTGACATTATTAGCGTATAAAATTTCATTAATATCTGGATTGATTAATAACCTATTAGTGAGAGAGAGTATGATCCCATACGCCTCATAAATATTTCGTTATAAATTTTGTAAGTTGGATTAAATTATCAGACGTTTTTCCTCAAAGTTGTTTTGACGTGGAAATGATCGTTCATTCGATAGCTGCCTCTTCGTAGGGTCAAACCACGGACTTTTGGGTGACAGGATTCCAGTATTTCCACTGGACAATACAAATTTAAATGACCATATTACTAACAAAATATTTACCTTTAAATTTCTAATTTCATGAGTTTAAGGCGATCCATATTTGGGAACTAACTTTGTAGAAATTAAATCAAACAAGGCGAGTATTCTGGCTTTTAACGTGCCCTGAAAAAATTCAGATAAATCAATGCGTATCATCAGTGAAGTTATGGTCTAAAAATGGGGAGTGAAATATTTGGGAAAACTATTTTAGCAAAGTTGATTTTCTCTGAACCACACAGTATTTGGCGTTACTGGCGTGATGATACTGCTGTTTACACATCGAAATGCTTTGTTCTTTTCATGAATGACGCACTCACAAAACACGTCTGGAAATACGGCCACTTTAATTGTTCTAGAATAAATCATGTTAGAAAAATAATACCATAAACAGAACTCTTATTCAGTATGATATTACTAAGGAAAAACCTTTAGTTCAGCTCGGCGAGTAGGTTTTGATTCCTAAAGGAGGATACGCAGGTATAAAAGGGAGATGTCTCGTAAATTGTGATTCTGTTCTGTCCAGTGACAGCATTTGTGGGTGAAATGCGTTCTCAACACAATTCATAGAAAGACAGTGGATCAAAGGCCCATATGTCTATGTGGAATATTCGGGATATTAGTCATGGATTGTGTTCAACGTATTGTTCTGTCAATCTATCTGCTGTTTAGGTTTTATTTCTATTATGCCAGTTCATTTCGTTGCCACCAGAGTGAGTGATTGCGACCATGATAGTCCACGTGCACAATGGAAATGCCAAAATATTTGTACAGCAATGATCCGGAAACATTGTGTTTGAATAACAAATGATCCATATTTCCCGTTTATTCATTGATCGACCGCATGTGATCTTTTTGAGTTGTGTATTCTGATGACAGATTTATATAATCGAAGTCTCTGCTATGTTATTTTTGCCTGTAATAACGCTTCATTGTTCTAAAATTAAAATAGTTTTTCGTTAACATTTTACTTCAGTCGTGAAAACGCAGGGGTGTTGCCTTCATTTAACGATTCAACTGGTTGACGTAAGCCACATAGATTTAATTATATATTTATACCCGATGCGAAACGTGTTCATTAACCGCGCAAGCCTCAACTAGGCAGCTAACAACCCCTGGTTTTCCTCGATCTGCCAATCGATTCATTTTATTAGATTGGTTCTGCTTTATTATAGTGTGCAGAGTGCTACTAAACCGCTAAACTAAGGCAGAAGAAGTCCTTTTCAGTGTTAGCCGTGCTAACACGGTTAAAGCTTGACGCGTGTACGCGTACTCTGCCTCCCTCGTTTACGATCATGAACGATCATTATTTGGCAGCGTTTTGCTCAAAACCACTAAGTTCTAATCCTGATGGAGGCGTCACTGGTATCAAGTATCGGAAATATATCCAACCGTTTCCTACTAGAGCGTAGGTCTTATTTCAAAGTATTCCACTCCAAAGTAATTTAAATGTTAGGTACATTCTTACTTAAGCCTACAATGACCTTACTATTTTTCCTATTTCTTAAGGAAAACAATGTTCTAGCGTGTTTCAGTTTCATTCGTGACTTTTAAAACATCGCTGTTAAAATTTCATCCCAGTACATGGAAGTTTCTAATTCCTTGACAGACTAGTAGCACCATGTTTACCGACGCTTCAGAGGTAGACGCCCTGATGATGGAAGCAGCAAGCACCTCTGAAACGTCGGTAACCTTCTACCAGTCTACACGGATCTTCAACTCAGAAGACAGCCATATTTATCCGGGTATGGCCTTGAATGTTTCAGGCCGAATGTATTTTATTTTTATAGAAAATGTGTATACTGCATTCCACAAATTTGATAATTTTTTGGACATTTTAAATAACTACTTCAATATTTTTTTCTAAGAAATGTGGATTCGATACTGTAATAAAATTTAATTTAGATTCAATCTGTAGCAATTTGTCACATTATGCTTCGGCGTTCTTGTGGTGCAAATCAGAACTACGTTGCAAATTTCCTCTTCACTGTCGACTTTCAGCACAACTTATTACACCCGGACAAGAGAGAATCTATTTACGTTTGAGTTTCACGCAGGCTCCTTTTTTTTCCAAGAACTGGATTGTGGAAATTAACGGGAAATAATATAAAAGCAGTCTCTGGGAATCGGATTCGGTTTTTATTTCCCGATGGAAAGAAAAGCGATTTTACGGAGACGAACAAACGCTATGAAGTGACATTCTAGAAGTTTCAAAAATTAAATATAAAATCCATTGTAATTGCCTGAAGTGTTTTTCCATTTGGGGGATCTATTTTTCTCTTTTAGCTCTATAAACTCAAACAAATTTTAGTACGGTAATTTGTTTAGAATTCTTCCAGCGAACCATGACATTAAAGGGACTTTACTGAGTGCAATTATATTAAATATGATTCTTCTTACGTTGCTAATTTGATTGTAATATGACTGTGTACGATAGTATATTCCTTTTCATGTTTCGAGTGGTACAACACGTATAATTAGTTCTCGTGGAGTTATTAAATTCAATTGTCTTTGTACAGAATCATAATATAAATCCATCAGCCATGGGAACACATTGTGATTCCAGTCGTAGGGTAGGTTAAATGCAGGCTATAGAATACAAAATGTGTAGTACGACATAAACTACCCCCTACAGGTTCCGTTTTAGCGTCATTTAACGGAGTATTGTTATGTTTATTATACATCTTCCTACCAAATCTTTGTCTTTTATCCCCTGTAGATATTAATTTCTCATAAAATACGAAGGTAATGGCCGTGGTGGTCCATCCATAAGATCTGCAACACACCTAACAATTTTTCAAAAATTTAAAAATTTATTTTTTGTGTTTACATAATTTGTAACACTTCATTTCATATATAACATTATTTTAATATTGCCCCTTACGTTGCCATTATCCACTAATCGAGTGAACTGAGGCGAGGGAGGAGTGCGAAGCAGAACGGGGATATCACCCGGCTGCAAGGATTATGTTCTTTTGCGATGGTCCTGGAGAATTTCATCGGGTGGTCGTGGGGATGTCTTGGAGAAGTCCTCGAGAAATTCTAGATAAGTCTTAGAGTGGTGTAGGACTAGTCCTGGATAGTTTATGCCGAACTTCATTGGATTAGTTTATGTTTGTTTGGGACTAGTAATATTGAGTACCGGAAAGAACAGCTGTAACAGCCCAAACGGTTTCCGCACTGCGGTAAAGAAAGGAAACGGAACTTCTACTGTACTATTTTTTCCAAATTATCTTAATGGCTGGCCATTTGGATCGCAAAAATACAGCGTAATAACAACAATAATGAGTTAAATTGGATTAAATTGCGTTGAATTGTCTTAGGTTGGGCTAGGTTAGGTTAAGTTAGGTTAGGTTAGGTTAGGTTAAGTTAGGATGGGTTAGGTTAGGTTAGGTTAGGCTTAGCTAGATTACCTAAGGTAAATGTTAGGTTGTTTAGGTTATTTTAGGTAAGGTAATTAAAAGTTTTTTATTACGAATAATGTTTATTTTTTATTTACAAATTGCAGTTATTTATTGTTACAACTAAAGCTACATTTCGTTAATAATGTGATTTAAGGGGTTAATATATCTACAACGAATTTAAAAATTTAAAAACGAGTATTACTGAAAATGTAAAATAATATCACGTTATACTGCAAGAATTTATTCGACAAAAAATAAAACATGTTTCAGTCTCATCCTTCGCTTATTTAAGGTACATCAGCTACTCCGCCAGCCTTTGAACGACCTTAGATGCAAATTAAACTGCCTGGATCAGGGAATAAAGTAGTAGCTAGGGGTCTGAATCCTTGTGAAATGGTGAACTGAAGAGTGTGTCGTCATGTTATCGGCTCAGTAATTGGAATCAAATTACAGATTAGACCATAAATTTGCAATTTAAGAAAAAACGAGGTCTTAGATTCTATGAATGAATGTTTGGTGTGTTACAGCTTAAAAATTATATACTTCGATTTTTGTCTGTTCTTGAATATTTGTTCTGTCATAGTAAAAGCCATATGAATAATGTTAGAAATAAGTTTAAACTCTGAATGATTTATGGGTGGACATGCTGTATATGCGATCCACATATCAAGAGTGCCAGATTATTGCCATGAAGTATACTGAGAGATGAACACCTCTGCGGATCATGAAAACAAATTTATGAATATTTTTGAGTTCAAAGACATAGAGTAACAGAGATGGGAGTATTTGTTTGAAACTAACGGTAAATATATGTGCTACCTTGTTCACGATTCATTAACTTTACTTTTCCTCCAGAATGTATTTATGGGTTTCATGTGATTCAGACTAAACAACGATTATTCCCTTAAACAGATATAATGAGTTGGATTTTGTAATGGGGAAGTGTTGTGGGATTTTAGGTTTTTGACTGTTGTCCTCTACAGAAGTGGTATTCAAACTTTTTTGATTGCGTACCCCCAGATATAATTTCTCTTCAACTTTATACCCCCAAAGTTGGTGTATAATTCAAGTTATACATAGTATATAATCTACATCTAAAATAAATTAAATAAATTAAATAAATTACATTACTGATTATTCGGTGTTTATCATAATTTTTTTCTAAATTTCACGTACCCCGTAAAATGTCTTCGCGTACCCCCGGGGGTACGCATACTCCAGGTTGAATACCACTGCTCTAGAGGAGCTGTGTTTTCTTTGTTGTACGGACTAAATTTACAAAATTCAAAATATCCCGAATTGTGACACTATTCATACATTTTCTAACTTGTTCTTTGCTGCGTTAGCCTGTTTAATTAGAGGTCTTGCGATGGTGTTTAATGTAATCGCGTTCCTATCCATGAAATGACTTGTACTTATCTCCATTTTGCAGAGTTAACAGTAAACATATTTCAGAGGGTATTATACGAAAATACCGTATTGTGTAAAATGGATTCGCGTTGCCTTTGACAGTTCAATGTCGTGCGTTGAAAGGAATTATAGATGAATCCCTCGAAAGCGCATTACTGATTCGCAATGCTTCTGTTCTGTTTGCAGTCACGGTACGAGGTGTGCAGGAGAGGTGGCTGCTGCCAGGGACAACGGCGTGTGTGGCGTTGGCGTCGCTTACGACTCCAAGATAGCAGGTGATGCTACCTTCATGACCCGTCATTAAGTCTGTGGTACATCCATTAAACACAAAACAAACTTAATCCCCCGAAATGACTCATATCTGAGCTTAATACTCTTCAATAAAAATTTCCTTGGATATTTTCCATCGTCTAGTAAAATAATAAAATAGAAAACGACGTTCCGGAGATGGTACCTGAAGACGGTGATAGAGCCCCATCTCCGAAACGTCGTTTTCTATTTTATTATTTTACTTGAAGATGTAAAATATCCAAGGAAATTTTTATTCAAATAACTCATCATAGTCACGAACTTTTAGATTTGATATAATACTCTTAAATTATACCCTGTAGGATATAAGCCTATATATTTCAGTCCCTGGAAAAAGTTCCTTGAGTTTGATTCCCGCTGAAGGCGTGTTTCAGGTTGCTAAGAAACTAAATACGGTGGAAGAACGTCTCTTAGACTAAAGTCGGTTGTTTCTACGAAATAATTGCACAACAGAGGATAGAAAACCGAAAAATTAACCTGGGATTGATTTCCAGTGAAGACGATTTCTTTACCTAGGATAATAAGCACGTCACCAAGACACTGAGAATAGCGAAGAACAACGTCGAGACGCCATACGATAGGATACTCATAGCCCAACATCGAGCATCGAGACGCCGACAGGATTCTACATATAGCGTACATAATGTTAGCGAAGGCACAAGGGAAGACGCTGAGAAATCTACGCCGAGCACCTCGACGCCTGTTGTAAAGATTCACATAAGAAAAGCAAGACACGACACTGACAAGCCGACGCAGAGCGTCGCGACGCCGACTCAGAACACCAAATCAAGACATGAATATACAATGGAAGCTGCATGGCACGTCGTTGGCAAACCGACGAACAGCGTCGAGATGCCAATTATTCCGACGGCAACATTAGACAACAAATCTTAAGTAGGCTATAGCATGAATGCGTTCCAACACGGCGCCGGAATAAGACGCCGAGCGTCCCACGACCCAGAAATCAAAACCCTGCCAAGAAAATACTCGGAATGGTACAGGGCATGATGCCGGAAAACAGGCGCAAAGCGTCGCGAAGGCGTAAAAAGATGCCAGACATATCGTAAATGAACCTTGGTATGACATGTAATCCGAAACTGGATATGAGGCTTCGAAAGACGCTGAATACGAAAAGCAAATAAAGCCAGCATAATCCTAAAAATTTTCGCGTGGATCGATTGTGACAAAACCGATGGCGAGCGACGGCACGCCAGAAGATCAGCTTTAGGATGTCACTGGACATGATGTTGGAAAACCGACGAGAAGCTACGCCTTGAGACATCGACTACAGACTGCAAATAAAAGCAACAGAAGCATTTGGACAGCATACGACTGATTCTAAAAGAATCGACGCCGAGCGTCACGACGCTACTTTTACGGTACCGCTAAGGCGCTATGTTTTTCGCAGTGACGCCATTCGCCCCTACGTCGCCAGCAGAATGAATATATTGGACAGATAGACCTCAGGATGCAATTGGACGCTACTGCAAGCTTTGCGACGTCCTTCAAAGACGTCACATTTAGCAGAGGTAAGCCTCCAGCTTCCAATGTAAAAGACGTCTAGGAACCGACGCCGAGCAATGACGTATATAGCACAAATGAACCTCGGTACTAAAATACAAAACAGACTTTGACCGTCGCGGCGCCTACCGTCTCGAAGGCTGTTGAAGGAAATTGTCAAGCACTAACTAGGCAGTTCGATTGTGTCCCTCTTTTACAGCTGATCTTTTGTATTGGGTTTTAAGATTTTCTAATACATTTACCAAAATATCCTTTCGTGTATTTCTGATTGAGGTATTCGGATGTTGGATCAGCCGTACATGACAGATCTGATTGAAGCCAACTCTATGGGTCACGAGCCAAATCTCATCGACATATACAGCGCCTCTTGGGGCCCAACAGATGACGGGAAGACGGTAGATGGTCCGAGGAATGCGACTATGAGGGCCATCGTAAGGGGAGTGAACGAGGTACGTTCTGTGTTACTGCTTACGCTGTTTAATAGACGCTACAGAATGTACCATTTAAAATAAAACCCAAGAATAATCACGAACTAAGGAGAAAATATTAAATCAGAACCACGCCCACCCGCGTAATAAATTTCATAAAATATTGGATGAATTACAATCATGATTGAGGCAGTACGCTTATCTAAAACGTTATCATTATATACCATACGCGATGTTTCATCTCAGAAGACTGCCATCTTCACAATTTTCTTTTCCTTCAGATTTTGAATTTTAGAATGTGGTCTGATCTCTGACGTCGACATTTCAGTTGCTTCAAAAATATATTGGTTGGTTTTCTGGTGAAAAGGATACCACGTTACAACCGATAAATCACAAAATGGCTATAAATTATGTGATAATGTGACATCACTGCTGACTGAAAATATCAGACCTTTTTTATGATTTTATTTTAAGCAGTTTTAGCCATAAATCTGCGTACTTTACAGTTTTTTTAAAATCCTTTCTATTCTATTCATGGCTCAAACTGTTCAAGTAGATAATTTATAGTGACCCTATTTAACATTACTTTCCCTTTAATACGCTTGTTGAAAACGACGTAAAGTAATTTGAATATGAAATAACTTTGGCTTTTGAATTCTGCGGAGTATAAGAAATTTCTTCTAAAGTTTTCTGTGCTACGTTCTACATACGCAGTAGAGATAAAAATACTTTTATACTTGTCAGATAAAACATAAACGTACTTAGACCGATTCATCTTTCCGTCTGCAGAAATGGAAAATAAGTAGTGTTTCTGGATATACATTTTTCTACTAATCTGACACTTCGTTGTCACAATTCACGGAAATCAGAATAGAAGCAGATGTATTAGTGTATAGAATTTTAACGAAGTTTCATTTTGGATTTTATATAACTGTACCAACATTAATTTAACTGCTATGATTGATGGAGTTTAATTCATTGTGTCGTCGCAGTAAAAGAGCATTAATAATCACGTAATGTGTTCAGTCTGTTATAATTTCCATTTGCAGTGTAATTCAAATTATCGTCAACCGTCGTGCTTTCTACTTTAATTTTGAATTTTTATAGCATTAAAACATCGTGACAAATTTGGACATATTCCCTTTATATTTATTTATTTAGTTAGTTCAATTAAATTAATTCACGATATTGATTTAATATTTGTTTTCTTTTATATATCGATTTTTATTTATATGACGAGAGATACTGTGGCCACTTGGCCTTGTATTAGAGTCAAGGTTTCAATTCCAAGCAGGGGTATAGATCTCCCTCTTTGCTAAAACACACGCGTGGGTTCTGGGGCTCATCCACTCTTTTTCGTTGATACGGGATGCCTTCTTCAGGGAGTAATGCATTCGGAGAGTGAAATGGCCACTCAATTTATCTACTACACAAAATTAGGAATATACGGAGCTGTACCTCCACTCCTCCATACGTCTTAATGGCCTGGAGCTTAAGGGTATTCGACTCTATTTTGAAATAAAACACTGTACTTGTAATAGTCAGAGAATTCCATAACCACCTGAGACTGCTGTTAGCTTCTGAAGCAGGACTATTCTTAGTGGGGTTTGTTCTGTAGTGGCAACACTTGTTGAATATTGTGATTTTTATTATTTTTTTCTGTATTTAATTACTTTTGTGGGCCTCCAATTGTGTTTTCTTTATTTCAGTTGTATCGGCCGAAATAAAAATATATTCTTTAAAAAACAATGGTACAATGGGTTTAAATTATACGATCGTAAATTGTGTAAAATATGAGTTTACGTACAAAATATATTAATTCATTTATGTTGATTCGTTACACAGAATAATATTTTTGTTTTGAATTTACCATCTTTTAATAGACGTAATATTTGTATCAACCATATATATAAATCAATTTATATTATTAGTTTCATTTATAATACGTGGTATTCATGTGAAAGCCACAGAGAAGGTAAGAAATAATTTGTTCGTAAACTTTTAATATCTTGACAGCTACATTATTAAACATATTTCTTGTAATGAAAACATGATGAACATCAAACATGTCTTTCTCCTTCAACACTCGTCACACAACGTAAAGGATAAAACATTGGCACATTCTCTGACGTACGAAATGAACTACGTATAAAAGTGGATCTGTGCTGTAGAAGATTTGAGGTTTTCACGGTGGTGAGATCATGATATCGTCCTGGGTTTTGGCGCCTCGTAGACAGCCGAGTCGTCACGGCGCCAAAACCGAGGAGAACGTCATGGTCTGATTCTGTGCTCTTTAGGGACGAAACGGACTGGGTAACATCTACGTCTGGGCGAGTGGGGACGGCGGTGAGGACGATGACTGTAACTGTGATGGCTACGCTGCCAGCATGTGGACCATTTCCATTAACAGCGCAATTAACGATGGGCAAAACGCGCACTACGACGAGAGCTGTTCTTCAACTCTCGCTTCTACGTTCAGCAACGGGGCCAAGGACCCGAACACCGGCGTGGTACGTGCATTGCAATTAAAAATTTAAAGCCCGATGATCAATAAATATCCCACCTGTTTTAACAATCGATAACTCTTTATTTTTTAATTATGACTTTTTATTATTGTTACTGTAAACAGCGATTATTTCCTTAAATAGCGTTAAACAATTTATCTCTTTAATGCTGAAGTGGAGTTTTCTGTCGTCCTTAACCTAAAATCTGTCTTTCTTTTTCAGGCAACCACGGATCTCTATGGGAAATGCACTACAACGCATTCTGGAACGAGTGCAGCTGCACCAGAAGCAGCTGGAGTATTTGCGCTAGCTTTAGAAGCAAAGTGAGTGATAAGGCGCATTTAATATGATATTATTACATAATTTTTTGCGGTTATCAAAAAATTTATTATCATTCCCGTCAGACACACACAAATTGTTTTAAAAATAATTAAGGGCCTTTCTTTGAAATTAATAGTATGCTCATCTAATCAAGAAATTCCAAGCCTTTTATGGAACCCAAAGGTTCATTACCATGGTCATAAAACCTCTGAACTTGTCCCTATCCTGAACTAAATTAATTCAATCCATACTATAATAAATACTTCCCTAAGATCCATTTTAATAATATCATTCTATCTACGTCTAGGTCACCCGAGCGGTCTCTTCCTTCCAGGTTTTCAATAACAATTTTGTATTTATTTCTCATCCCTCTATTACGCGTACATTTCGCGTTCGTCACGTCATCCTTTTTAGTTCATCCGAATATAATCTGGCGAAGAGTACAATCTCTGTGGACTTCCTGGTCATGTTAGGTTTCGTCGTGTGTAGACCGTTGCCTTTCAGCCCCGATGATGGATACAGCACGTTAGCATCTACAGACGAGTTTATACGACGCCAAAAGCAAGATGCTCACCACGAACCTCACAGCCGAAAAACATCACATCTGAAAGACTAACATTTTTTGGTGTGGTATGATTTTTCAGCCCGCAGTTGAGCTGGAGAGACATCCAACACTTGACAGTCCTAACATCAAAACGCAATTCGCTGTTTGACGCCAAAGGTCGATTCCACTGGACGATGAATGGCGTGGGTCTGGAATTCAATCATTTGTTTGGGTTTGGAGTCCTGGACGCTGGTGCGATGGTGGCCCTGGCGAAGCAGTGGAAGACTGTTCCAGCCAGGTACCACTGTGAGGGCGGCACGGTCTCGGAGACCCAGTAAGTTGACACGGCTATTCTACAGGATGTTCGAATTTAAACTGGGAACTGAATACGACACACGAAAGACTTCACGCCTAGAATAAATGCTCGTTCAGGTCTTGAATTCGCTTTGTTTGCACCTGCTCAGCTTCTGCGCAACTGGCTTGAGCACCGGCCTAGCAATAATCATGACCTTGAATGGAGTGTAACGTGGGAGGTTGGAGAAGTTAATTTTTAGACGACTGTTTTTTTTTTGGTTGAGTTTTAATTGGTAAGCCGTGTACACGGAAAGATTGTAATTGCGAAAGAGACGTTTTATATCCGGCCTATAATTTTATTAGGTGGATATTTCAAACCTGAAAATTCTCGCAGTGAACATCTGGGTATATCATTCGAATCATGATCTAGAAATGAAAAGAAATGACATTATACATATTTTATATTATGATTTTACCACCGTAATAAATCGTTCGGCCTCGCTCCATTTCCTTGTTAGTTGCCAGGAGTAACTCTGTTTTCACAATTTCCTTCCGTTCTGTCAATCTGCTTGTTATTTAAAACTATCAATCTCGCACTTTTTTCGTGCTGTCTCTTTGGTGCTTCCAACACGTTATCTTCATCTAGCCTTATTTTTGTCTTCAGAAGGTCGTTAATAGAAGATTACGTACGTCTTAATCCTCACATAAATATGTGTAATCCACTCTTTTGTCGATAGGTAAGCATTTACAAAAAAATGCATGAAGTAATCTCTTGATATATCACGATTTGTCACTACTCAGCTTTACAATGGCAAGGACACAATAAAAATATGTTTGGTATCACTTCCTTTAGTTTTCAGAACCCCGAATAGAATTATATACCCAAATGAAAATTTTACGGACGAACAACATTTAAACAACGTAGAATGAATTAAAGTGGGCCACTACTTCAGCTCCAATGGGATTCAAACAGCGTCATTCATGTTCATGCCGTCTGTATAGAAATTCCGATTCTCACATAAACAGATTCGTTTGTCAGGAACGCCTTCGTGTCATGTTTAGGCTTTTTAACACACAGACGTGTCGGAGAAGTAGTCGACCTTCACGGCGCTAGTTAGTGCAGTCTCAGCTGAACTCAACGTGACTTACGAAATAAAGAACAGCTAGAAGATTGATTACTTCGTTATTTGATGATGTTGTTCAATGAACCCTTGACGTCTCACATGTTAACAAGTTCTTACGTAATTAAGCTGGTACCCATGCTGTGAGATACATAGAACTAAGTTTCTGGTACTGTATATATTTATTTTTTACGCCGTTTATCATGTGACTGCGTTTATAGTGAAAAATGTCATTTAATTATACGAATATATTACACGCTTACAAATGTCATAAAAGTTAATTTTGTAAGCACACAGTTATATAATCGGCAATGAAAATTTGTTTGTTTTCCTACATTTGTACGCATTCTACATTGTAGTTAAGTCGAAGTCTACGCAAATATCTCAAATTAATTCACTACCGATTCCTTCAATATTCTTTCCAATTCACTGTACATTATGTCATTCGAACAGCATAAGTATCTCTCCTGAAGACGAAAAAACATGCCCTTTTAGAAAAGAAATGAGTGTTAATGTTTCAATATTTTTTAGACATGTAAAACACGGTGGATAAAATGAAAAAAAAAAAGAGAGAACGTTTTAACATATGGTGGTGTAGAACTACCCAATTCCGTTTGACACAAAAGCTTTTACAATTCTCAATAATAGTCGAAATAATTTGAGAGCCGTGTTTTTACCCACAGGGAGATCCCTTCCAGCCGCTCAGTGCTACTGAAAATCAACACGAACGCATGTCAAGGGACCGAGACTCAGGTCAGCTATCTCGAGCACGTCCAGGCTGTAATTACTCTGAACGCCACTCGTCGGGGAGACGTGGAACTGTTCCTGACGTCACCAATGGGGACCAGGTCAGTGTAGACGAATATAATTCGATTTTTCTAGTCCTTAGGTTTTCGCGACTGGAGTTCAAAGTACAACTTTAGCTTTCGGGGATGGCCAGCAACGAATGTTGAAAGCTATCTGCGTATTCACCCTGAAGATGGCAACTGCAACTGTATCCTACTTCAATGGACTCATATTAAAATAGGTCTGTCAGAAATTTAATTTGACCCCCGTTCCCATCACAGGTCGATGATCCTGAGTAGGAGAGTGAACGACGACGATCATCGAGATGGGTTCACCAAGTGGCCATTCATGACGACACATACATGGGGCGAATACCCACAAGGAACATGGTCACTAGAGGTCAGTATAAGTATCATCAACTGGATATCATAATTCGTTCAAAGCGATTGCACGCCGTGATGATGGAGGCAGTTGGCATTTCTGTAATGCCAGTCCAATTCTTCAAGACTGCAAGCGCGTTGCAGAAGATGCCATGTTCAAAATTGAAGATGCCATGTTCAAAATTGAAGATTCCATGTTCAAAATTGAAGATGTCATGTTCAAACTTGTAGATTCCATGTTCAAAATTGAAGATGCTCTTTTCTTTTTTTTGTAAAATTCACCAGTATCGAATTTGTTCAGAATCGTAATACGGTGAAGATGTCAGTGTTGTTCTTCTGGGCTGTGACGCTTTGTAGACTTGCAGCATCGCAACTAAGAGGAAAAATGACTTCATCAAAACCACTCTATCTGTTCTCGAGATTTTTATGTGCACAGACAGAGATAGATTGATTTTAACAGGTTATCCATGGAGATGTGTAAGCATCTGTAACATAAAGACGAAAGGTGATGCGTAAATGTACAAACATCTGCCAGGATTTGTAAAAAATATTGCGAAATAATTTCTTTAAATTTCAGGTAAGCTTTAACTCGCAGTCTCCACAATCAGGATTCATCAAGGAATGGACACTGATGTTGCACGGGACCCGGGATCCACCATACAGCGGCCTTCCCGTGTCAGATCCACACTCCAAATTGGCCATTGTCAAGAAAGCGCACGAAGAAAGAAATAAAATGTAAAATTAATCTCATCTCTTCAGCTTCTCTCCCCATCCAAAGCCACTACACGCCCTCATTTAATATTCTGTTGTTTCTTCTTCATTTGCTTGACAGATCTCGATCTCCCTCTTTCAGTTCCATAACTTCAGTGCCGTACGTCACATTATTTACGTTCATTAAAGCCCCTCTATTTGCAAATTGTTCTACCAGCTCTCAGAAACAGCGTAAGATTAATTATTCTCAAAAACGTACTTTGACAAGGACAGTACAGGGGGTTTCATCAGTCTTAAAAGCATTTTTATATCTCTATTAGTCGCGTGTAGAATCGATGAAGATGCTAATATACAGGGTGGGTGGGAAGTAAGTAGGCATTAAATAATCGCTTTGCATTGGAAATATAGAGGTTATAACCATTCCTCAATGTACTTACTTACCACCCACCCTATATACAAAATTATTAACGTAATATTCAGAATTAATAAAAATCATATTTTAGTTTGTGCTTTAGACGTCGTAGTAAAGTAATTTGACTCTGTCCTGCTAAAAAAGGGAACAGAATAAAATATTTAGTATTTTAATAAATTAAATAATTTCCACGCTAGGCACTTCGAAAATTGCACAACGTTAAAGTGCGTGTTGGTAATAAAAATTTGGGCGGAGGCAGTAGAGTTTTGACTTACTAATCTTGCATTCAAAAGCATAATTGTTCGAAATTATATCGTAAATTAATTTCCGCATTGTAAAATTTAAGAGAAAATTCACTTGCAATGTTAACTGCAACAGAACTCGGATTCAAAGGCAGAGGAATAAAAAGAATGACGAAATTGAGCAGATTTGTTTTAATTATTATAAAATGCGCTGCGTGAGAACGTTTTAAGTCTCTCTTGACACAGGAGGTAAGATCAAAATGTGAATGATGACATAACCTTAAAATAAGGCAGTTTCTTTTTTTATGGTGCAAGATGTACCTGAGGTACTCTATGTACTTTTATGAAGTTCGGTTCAAATAACAAAGGGCTTAGAATATCTATAGGTAATCAGACGTTCAAACTACACGTGACACTTAAATTCAAAATTTCATTACCTTGTTCGTTACCCGCCACTGGTCCCTATCATAATCCAAGCCACGCGAATCCAATTCCATCCTCCCACTCTACTTCATAACGCAATTCGTAAAGTCCCATTAAATAAGTTAGTAACCATGTACTTTTTTTTGGGACATCCCCTATATTATTATATTTTACGATTATACCTTTAGTTTTTACAAGATTAAAATTATTTTTATTTTTTTAATTGTTTTAATCTATTCGTTAAATGCGTAAATAATTTTTCAAGAGAATCTTTACTATAAGTGCAAAGTTGTAAAATAATATATCAAAACTCACGTAACAGGTAACATGAATACATTCTGTAGTAAATTACATTATCTTTTAAATTCATATTTTATTACGTAAAGCATGTTGCCTAGAGCACATAAATATAATTATTTCTCTTTTTGAGCGATATCCAAATTTGACTTCAAGAAACCCTTCACATATGACGTACTTTACGTGGACTTCCAAAAATCTATAATATCGTATTCAAATTATTGCAGTGGAAATTAAACTTACGATTCAATGGCTCTGCAGCCATTACAACCACCAAATAGTGCGACTACAGTTCTTTGCATTCAGCACAATTAATAATGGCATATTTCACTATAATTATTCGCAGAATAGTTAATATTTTAACGTAAGAATTTTATGATTATAATATAAAAGCGTGTGAAGAAAATATAAAATACTTCTGGTTCCATAAGGTATGAAGAGGATTGTGTCTGTCGTTAAATAAATATAAACTAAAAAAAATAATTTTTCAAAACCTATTACTTAAAAAATAATAAAATATTACAAATGATTTATTCATAATATAAGGAAGCAATTGATATAGATCCGTTACAGAATTTCTCTCTAATTAATAAAATAATATTACTTGCCGTATAGTATTTACAATGCATATTTAAAAACATGTCGAGAATTTTTCATTATTCATTTACTGTTAATACTGATTAATTTGGATAAGTAATATTTAACATAAATAGGAAACAATGACATAATTTTCGTAAGTACTCACAAGATTGAAATTAGAATGACGTGCATCTCGGACTCATCTGCTGCCTGACGGCGTTTTTATCTTCACGAAACCAACACTTTCATTCACTAATTCATATATTATATTTATTGTTTAGTTACGTAGTTTTGAGATTGCACATACGAATTAGTGATTACCGTTACAGACCCATTTGTATCTCCCGTGCTTTGACTTCTAATTTAATAGAAACAATAGATTGTAATTTGTGGAATATAATCTTGAGTCTCAGAATATTCTATAAATTTCTGTATAGAAGTCTAATAGGCGATTTATAAATTTAAAAACATACCCGAAGAAAATTATTTGCAGTGAATTACGTAAATTAGTCTCATAATTGATAACAACAGTTGAACTATATTCGCGTGTTTTCGTAAAACCGAATAAGTTCATCGACAAACATATCTGATCAAAGTTTAAGAAGCTGATTAACCATAATATTTAATTGTATGTTACCTGAGTAAGCATATATTTACGATAACATCAGAACTCAGACGTGTCCACGCAAGGTAATACGTAGTTCACGAATCTAGCACACGCAGCTCACAAAAACAAATAGCTTGCATACATTTTATCGACTGAGAATTTATCTTCCTGCTAGCAGGATATGATAATATTGTAACAATTAATGTGGTATCAATATTGAGAAGAATTATTAATGTCTCTGATAACCTTAAATATTTTTTTTTAAATTAGTTTGTAATGCTATATGACACGTAAGATTGTACTGAAATCTATCTATGCTTGTCCAATCGAGGATATTTTTACCTCTAGATTTTGAAGGATCGTTTTGTTCTAAACATATGATATATCTGTTTTTACTTGCATTACATAAATAAAGAAAAATATAATTCAGAAGTGTCGAATATAATCGTAGGCACAGCAAACAATCTGATGAACATTTAAAATTTTAGATGCGGATAAGTAATTTGTAAGTTTCGCAACTACTGCTTAATTTTTTTTGCTTTATGAAAAAATAATAATTCTATTTTATGAGTTATAGAGAAAATCATTTGCCTATAAATATCTTATCCCTCGTAATATTTAAAGTCCAATTTAAATTGGCAGCTTAAAGTAAACAGCGGTAAAGAAAAGTAGTTATTTATGTTGTATTGTTTCTAGTTACATATCCTGCAGATACATATATATATATTCACGTATATAACTAAAGTAAATTATTTGTCTTAAATCAAAGATTGTATGCATCACGAAGGGATCAATTACATCTCAAATAATTTTATGATTAATTATATTTGACATTAAAAGGAGGTGTTTATTAGTATAGTCATGTTGAAGAATTTCTTCATTTTGTAGTTTAAATTTAAAGTTTCTTAAATAATGTGTTTTGATTTAAAGATTTAAAGCACAGAATAATTATTTAAAAAAAAGTTAATTTCTTGTGATATCATATCATAGGTAACGTAATTTATTCTTTACGTGCGTATATTATTAAATTATTAAAAGCCCATTCATTGACGGATATATTGGTTCTGGCACTAAACATAAAAGAGAACTTTAATTCCATAATGCACTCTAGACTAAACAAATTCCGCTGGTCGGAATATTGCTTAAGAAACTCACTTTAATTTCGAGTGCACAATTTAAATTTAAAAAAAATTATGTTGGAAATATTCGACGTAGATTATGTGCACCATATAATGACACAATTCTGATGCTACTCATACCAATCCAACGCAGTTGTTTTTCACCTGAAATTCAATACCTGCAGACATGACGTTACTCTTTCCATTATTTAAATTCTCTGTCAGAAAGAATCTATAACTTTACACGCAACTTCTTATATAATTCAAAGTTTTCTTTATATTTTCTAAGACAATTGTGGTATAAGCGGTGTACAGGGTTGATGACATTTTATAGTTGCTCTACCATCTTTGATTGGACTGTAGAGATTAGCTTATCGATTTTTCCGAAGAGAACGTAAGAGAAATGTCACTGATATATATAAACTTTGATTGAAATTCTGATTTTTCTATTTTGTTTCTTAACTACTATATGTATTAAGGTATTTATTAGGACAAAAAAATGGATATTAGTGAAGTGTAATTCCCTAGAAATTTGTAAAATCTGTACTGTACTTGTTATTTATAAGCTGTGGTAGTAAACAGAAAATCCAGTGCAAGAAACACTTGCCTGTCGGCATGTTTAGTGTTATTCTGTACGTAAATTGTTTGGTAGTGAAATTATTTTTTTAAGAACAGTAATATTAGGTCCTATTTTTGTTTTTGTATTATTTTAAAAAAATTCTAGGTTAAAATACATAACAGAGAAAGGGTTTATTTTATTATATGTATACTTACCTTTACAGTAACTTTCACTTTGTGACTCGTTCCGTTATTCTGTTACAGCTATCGTAACTTTATTAGATTACGAAGTCTTTGACTATGTACCGCATATGTGATCTAGAATTTATTGGAACGTCTGTAGGATTGTGGAATATCGATCAAGTTTAGAAAATAGAAAAAAAATATTTTCTAATCCACGAAATGCTTTGAATTCCCAAAATGTAGACCTTTCCTTCAGTGATGTGGTTTTCTTTTTTAATCGTAAGCCCTTAACATGCTAGTTCTTATCAGTCAGTACCATTTCATATACTTCTATTTATCTATTTCAGAAGATTAGAAATGATCTCTCTATATTCAATAATTTGTATGAAAATTAAATGTAGCTTTATTGGGGAGGTTGAAGTATAAACAAGTATAAAATAAAGGACCATGTAACATATATATTTTTCATAAACTGTTTGCTTTATATTTGAGATACTTCTGGTTATTTTTATATTTCTTCGATCTGTTTTATGTGACCTGGGTTTTATAAAATGCAGGACAATAACAACAACAACAACAACAACATTTGTTCTACATTCCAAGTCCACGAGTTTGGTATTTGTTCGTATTACTGCAATTTCACTTAAGTAGAAACACATATTACCGTTCATCTTGTACCTCACCATCTTATGTTAGAAATTACGTAAAAGTGTGTTTCACTGTACCTTAACACATGTAGGCTCCAGTTTTACTATATAATAGATGACTAAAACAGTGAAATTATAGGATGAGTAAATTATTTGGACAACTTTGGATCTCATTTGCACTAGGTGCATTATACAAGTTCTCCGGACAAGGTTCTTCGTAAATACAGGATTATAAAATCATCTAATCTGTAGAGTAATCAATGATCTAGTTGGTAACGAAAAACCAAGTTTCGAAAGTAATATTTATAAAGCATTATGGAAAGCTTTTGATAATTCTGTCACCCGATCATACTTTTATTAAAAACACAATATTGTATTTGTTACATTATTTGGACATATGTGTCCCGCGTCGTAGCCGCGCGGTCTGAGGCATCATGCTTCCGACCGGCGATACGGAATGCGCGCTGGTTCGAGTCTCGGGGGAGAAGAAATTTTCTCATGAGCTTTCGACCGGTATATGGGACTGGTGCCAACCCAGCATCGTGAGGAAATTGGGGAGCTACAATAAGTAACGTAATCCGGTCAGGAAAACTAGCAATGGCTGGGGGTTCGTCGTGCTGACCACACGTCACCCAATATCTGGTTGGATGATCGTTCACCTCTGCTTAGGCATGTGAACGTGAGGCCAGCAGTCAAGCTAGTCGGCTTTGGCTCTCAGAGGGCTCTTACGCCACGGATAATTATTATTATTTGGACATATATTCACATACCTGTATTTATCTAGTTACCTTATTTTTCTTCTCAAACCATATTAGTACCACAGAATTTACTCAGACTATAGTGTATTGTTCATGAGACAGTTTTAAATTATTGTGGTAGTCCTGAAAAATTAAGTAAATTTCAGGAACTAGACTTTAAGTATTAGAACTTTTGTTTTGTAAATTTACTCAGGAGTGAGAATACTGAAACAGGAAAATCTGCTTACGAGAATAAACATAATTATTTTGAAGAAAAAAAATTTAGTATATATTACATATAAATAGAAATGATAACTGCAAAGCATATAGAAGGACAATATTTGTTGTAGTTAATGCTTTCTATTAAAAATAGATATTCCTTCGATATAACTCTAGTTTTAAATTCAAAGCATACAAGGAGTTTGTTAGAATTATGTCATCTGTTAGTCCAAGTATAACCTACGTAATTGAATATGTGGAATACATTTGATCATGAAGAAATAATTTTGTTTGTAAGTTCATAGATTATGGAAGAAGTATCATTAACCCTTTACCTTTCTCACCCAATTTGACCATTATGGGTGTATCCAGATTAAATGTGACAAAAAGTACGGTACATTCATAATGGATATAACGTAAGCTACACTATAGCCTACGTGGTATAGGTAATGTAATAAGAACTTGTAAATAAATTAAAATATTCTATTAAAAATGTCAGGTTAATGTAAAATGGAACAATGCGTTGTGGAATAGGGCAATGAATTAATTTTAAAACAAAATTTTCAAACCTTTTGAAAGACCTCTTTTAAAAAAACTTATTTTATTGTAAAAACTTCCTTACTTTACTCTCCAACTTCTCTTATTATGAAAATGATAACGTTCAGTATTTACTTTCACTCATTGAATAACAGACAGTGAGAGAGAGAGAGTCATTAATCTAAATAATATTTAAAACTTAGGTTGTACCTCAGAGAAAACACAATCCTTTTCCATTAGAAAGTTCTGGTAATTAATACTGTCTAAGGAAATAATAGCTTCGTAATCTAAAAATCACACAAAACCCACAAATAAACTCAGTGTTTAGACCAAGTTATACATATAGTTACCACCATGCTTTAAAAGGTTTAAAATGGCTACTCTTCTATAGTTCAAAATGTTTGAAGCTAAATTTAAAATTGCAACATTCCTATATAAAATCTAAAAATTAAAGTGAAATTTCGTGTAATTATTTTACACAATATGAATAATGAAACAGTAACACATTCACACCAGAAACTTTTCTAATACTGCAGAACTTATAATTTAAGTTGACTAAAATGAATTCTTAGATGTAGAAAATCTTTATGTAAATTTTATGTTTGCAGTAATGGTTACAAATGTTTTTCCTCTGAACTAAATCCACCATTCTCTGTATTAAAATGAAGCAACGATGTTTCAAGGGCTTCAAGCCACAATATCTTAATGAAATATGTTAGTTTATTGTCATTTCAGTTTATTTACGCTTGTTTACAGACTGCAAATCTCACAACCGTTTCCCTACTCCGCATCGCATAGACTTGAACTCGCGTGTGTCTGCCATTATTATTTCCTTTTTTCTTCATTTTAGTATTAATTTCATTCTGTTATGTGGACTCTTGTTTAACTATTTGATTATCTGGACGACCATCTAACGCTATTTCAGTATTTTATTTGTTAATGCATTATACCATAGAATCGATCAGTAATTTGGATCTAAGAGAGATAAAGCAACTGAGGTGGAAACTATTTCATAACAAGGTACTTCATAATTTATCTTCTAAACAAAATATTTTTTAAGGTGGTAAAATCAAGAAGGGTGAGATGGACGGAGCTTTGTACTACGCACGGTGGAGATGATAAATATACGCACAACTGCAGTATGGAAACTTCAAAGACAGAGATAACTTGGGATATAAAAATGTGACACTAAAATGGATTTAAAAGTAACAGCTTGTAATGAATGGATAAGATTGATTTTGCTAAAGATACAAACCACTGGTGGGCCATTGCGAACATGGTAATACTACTAAAAGATGGTAAAATATTCCATACGACAGAAACTATTTTGTGGTATTTCAATGCATAACGATGTAGAGTTTACATTCGTAAATTAAAGTTAAAATGCAAATAAATATACTGTAATACTAACCGCCTGTATAAAACCCCGTGGTTTCGTTTCCCATTTAAAATATCGCTCGTCATGAAGATAATCTGTGTTATGAACTGGGTTAGCTTACTTGTTTTCCGACAACTATACACTAACTACCGTCTTGTTATATTATTTAGTACAAGCCGGCTATATTATTCTCATTCAAAACACTTCGTGTGTGTGTGAAATGGACTTACCACTCTATTTGTCAAGGTACACGTTACTCCATACCTTAAAAACTAGGAATTTTCCAATAACTAAGCATTCCCAGGTCCTGCCGTTACTTCTCCTACACTTTGAGTTATTCGGGTTTACGAGAAGCAAGCAATCGATAATTCTGATGACGCAAGTTCCGTTCAATTGGGTAATATTCAAAAACAAAATTGGACCGATGGTTGTTTGTGGAACACAATCTTAGAAAGACGCCAACACAGAAACCTCAGATCTTATTCAGTAAAGAAACTGCACTTTACTGAAGTCTTCCAATACCACGACAATATATTTTCTCTTATTACAGTTCTTAATTCGTATTACTTCAATTATATATAGATTGATAATCCACTCTTGTCCGCAAGTAGAATTACGATGGATAAAGCGATACGGGTTAGGTTAGGTTAGGTTAGGTTAGCTTAGGTTAGGTTAGGTTACGTTAGCTTAGGTTAGGTTAGGTTAGGTTAGGTTAGGTTACGTTAGCTTAGGTTAGGTTAGGTTAGGTTAGGTTAGGTTA